TATTTGCTCGAAACAAGGTTAACAAAGTACTTGGGCTCCTATGAAGGAGTGTTAGTTACAAGACTAGCGAGGTTCTTCTAAAACTATATCTAGCACTTGTGAGACTTAACTTGGATTATGCAGTTCAGTTTTGGTCACTATACCACAGAATGGATATTGAAACCCTAGAAAGTATACAGAGGAGGATGACAAGACTAATCCCTGGGCTTTAGGAACCTTGAGTGTAGTGACAGATTAAAGCATCTGAATTTGCACTCCCTCGAGAGATGTAGAGTGAGGGGCGATATGATCGAGGTGTACAAATGGAAGTCAGGGTTAAACAAAGGTGACATAACAAAGGTACTTAATCCATCCAACCTGTAGCAAACTCGTAACAATGGTTTTAAATTAGACAAATTTAGATTTAGGCGCGAGATACATAAAAAATAGAGTAGTGGATGAGTGGAACAAAATACCAAACATCATCCTTAACTCGAACACTCTGGGTAGCTTCAAATATAGGTTGGTTGGATATATGAGCCATATGGGTTGGGTGTAAACGGGGCTGCCTAGTATGGGCCAATAGGCCCGCTGCAGTTTCCTTCATTCTTATGTTCTTAAGTTCAACATTGAATTATGGTGTTGCATCTGTCATGTACTTCTATTACATCTCTACATTTCAGGTGAGACAAAAGGGGGCATCACTGCAGCAGCTTCTCTCACCTTACTCTCTTCAATAAGATCTGCAAAAAATAAAAAATAAATAAAAACTTCCTTGTGGTCATGGAGACTTAGACATGGATTACACTCCTTATCAGATCATCATGGCTTTCATTGTTGCATTTTTTGCCTTCTGGTTCTATATAACCCATGCGGAGTAGTCTGGCAAGTGAGTAAGATGGTTATGGGTAACTAACATTTTGCTGTGTTTTGAAGGCATGTCTGCACTTTTCGTTTTAGTTAAGTCAGTGCTGTTCTGCAAAGGAAAAGGTGAATATAATGCATGTATTTTAAATAGGATTGCTGACATTATTAGGGGAATTTTTTTACTTATACAGTACTGATGTAGATTCTGTTTGGGGGTATGAACTTCTTTTTGTAAAATTTACCAAGAATCAAATTGGGGAAAGAGTAGGGAAAATTTTTGATTGATAAATAAGCTTTTACAAGCATTGGAGACTTTTTATAGAATATATCTAGTCAATTTAGGTATTATGATGGAGAGCCGAGTGAGAAAATATTTTAAAATCTAGAAAAAGTACAGTTATGGATATTCCATAAATGGGTGTACTGTACAGCTAGTTGTTATAGTTGATTTGCTTACACTTTAATTGATTAGTATATATTTATACAGTATAATTATATACAGTATATAATTAGCTATATAATTATTACAGTAATTGGAATTAAAATGTTTTGTATGATACCAAGTAACAACAGATGAATTAATAAGTGGAAGAGAATTTGTGTGACTACGTATAATCAATAATAGAAAAGTTTAATGTGATGATGGAATATTGAGGAATTGTAGGACTTCAGGAGAATAATTATAGGGAAATATGAAATGTAAGGTACAGGTAGGTGTATTGTGAGAAATAATATCACCCAATAAAGTAGAAAGTAGCAATATCAGGCGGCCACTAGCTTGTACAGTACAGTATATGATGCTCTTTTACTGACCAGGAAGAAATAAATGAAATTCTACTGTTGAATAAAACATAGCTTCTGTGGTATCAAATTGGAGTGTCTGTATTTATGCTTGGCAGCACAACTCTCCAGTCTTCTCCTTATCCATGGTACTGTACCTTCTTACTAAGTGGTTATCTTTTGGGAGCCTGGAGTGAAGGCAAAAGATAATCAGATATTTTATTTTATTATGTTTTATTTTTAAATCTCAGTTATAAGCAAGTCATGGCCTTGGGTCTTTGGGTTTTAACCTGTAGACTTACTGACTACTGTACATTGAGTTTCTTATTCCTCTTGTAAATTGTAGACCATCTGAGATGCATACATACTTAACTATTCAAAGTATTGATTCACACTTCCATAATTGAATTGTTTCCATATCACCTCAGCTCTGAGAAAATGTTGATACATCCTTTAGCACACTTTAGTCATAAATTGATATCACCACATGACAGCAACTTAGTTGCTTTGAGCCTTTAACATCATTAAATTTGAGTTTGTTTTTCCCTTCCATCCAGGGTGTACAAGAACATATGTTTCAGAACTGGCTACTGGAGTGATTGGACAATTAATTCCATCACTTATGTGTCAATTCCCAAAGATATCCCTAAGCAGGGTTTGGTCTGCTGCTGGGTACCTCAAATGGACTAACCCCAAGGATGGTTATGTCAAGGAATTTGGATTTATTGTAAAGGATTGCATAATACTTAACATTTTGAAACTTTTTGGTTCTAAAAGAAATAATTAATTGGACATGAATGTGAATACAGTAAGTCCTCGCTTAAAGTCGGGGTTACGTTCCTGAAAACGCGACGTACAACTTTAAGCGGATCAATTTTCCCCATAAGAAATAGATAAATTACTTGAGTTATGTTCCTGAGCCTCCCTTTGCCCCCATGAAATACATTACATATACAGAAAATCATTGCCATTTCTATAGAAAATAATGCATACATATACAACTACTAAGTTTGTATTGGTGCTCACCGATGGGCGAAGGTGGTAGAGCGAGTGTGTGGTGGGTAGTGGAGCGGAGGAGGCGGGTGGCGGGAGGGGAGGAGGAGGAGGAGGAGGAGGATGGTGAATCACCGAGACTCTGCGGCTGCCTCCTCCTGTTTTGACTGGGGTTCCTCCGCCGCTGTTTGCTCCTCCTCCGTTGTTGTTTGCTCCTCCTCGGCTGCTGTGTGCTCCTCCTCATCTGTGAAGATGCTGCTTTTGCCGTCCCACGACGAAAAAATGAATCCAGTGTTGACTGCTTGGTGCTACTTTTCTTCTTCTCCTTATAGATCTCGGTGTAACAACCAAGACTGTCCTCAATGCTGCGTTGAACCTTTGAGCTACGTTCTCTGTTTGGGTCGGCATCTATAAGGATTTGCATTGCTTGCTGGAACATGTTGAACGCTTCTGCCATCCTCTTGGAAGTTAGCGTTCGTTGTGGCTCTTTTTCATCCTTGTCGTCTTCAACAGGACTGTGTTCTGTTAACAGTTGCAGATCTTCGTTGATGAGTTCTTCTGTATGGGATACCAGGACGTCCTCAATATCCTCTGATTCCAGCTCATCAAGCCTGCCTGTCTAGCCAAAGCTGAGGATATCCTTATTCACAGCTGGGACTAAGTCTGTGAATCCTGTAAAACTGTTGACACACTTGGGCCACAATTTACAACACACACACCATTCAGGCAACTTTCTGAAACCTCTTCCCATGCCTTACTATTGTCAGTTGCATGAAGAATGTTGAAGCCATGCCAATATTCTCGAATCGTAGGTTTAGTTTCTCAGTCTGTAGCCTTGAGCAGCTGGGCCATGGTACGGCATAAATAATACCCCTTGGTCTATAAGCTGCATCAGTGCTGTTGTGTGGGGAGGCAGAAATACAACTTTTACAATGTCATGCAAGTCGTTGAGATTGGGAGGATGAGCTGGAGCATTGTCAATAATCAGAAGAATTTTGAAGTCTAGGTTCTCCTTGGCACAGTTTCTTTCATTGGAGGGATGGCGTACATGTTCAACCACTGGCTAAATATGGCATCGCTTATCCATGCCTTCTTATTTGCCTTGTAGAAAATTACATACAAACGAAAAATAAATGCAGTAAAGTACACTTACTTTGAGGTGTGCATGTAGAAAGCTCCTGGTTGATGATGATGATAGGAATTAGAATGGGGGTGGAGGAGAAGGGAGAAGAGAAGGCATTGGGTTGGAAGAGAAGTCACCCCATGCCGCCATTTCACCAATAAAATCTTAGTTCACTTGGTGTAATTCAAGATTATTTTCTTTAAATCAACACTGCACTGCGCTATATATTATCAATACGGGTATGTAAAATATATTTCAAAATGACCAATAATTTGACTGGAAATCACAGAAAAAACATTTATGTTGAAGAGTCTCAAACAAGATGTTCCTTCCTCTGAACCTGTAAACAAACTAACGCCAAGCTTGGTGTGTTGAGTGGCTGTTTGGCGCGCATAAAACTCGTTTCCTGTACTTCAATTAAATTCAATAATTGTTAAAATGACTAAAAAATTTAATATAAAACTTTTAAAATGATTGAATAGTACAACCTTCTTGATATTTACTAAAATGGTAAGGAATTTAAGCCCTAGAACTGATTACTGTATTGGCGGACTAATACTACAGCTAGTGAGCAAGCGAAAACATGTTGAGGGGCGCTCGTAAGGAATTCGTTAATGGAGGGATTGCTCGTGAACCGAAGTGAAGAATCTTATGGAAAGTAATTCGTTAACCGAGGGATCACTGTACTACAATATGATTACAGTAGTCTCAAATAATGATGTTAGTAAATGCCGGTACAGTGCATCAGTGATCAGAATGACCACTGGGCCGTGAGTGGAGAGCATGGCGTGGTTAAGTGCATGACCTACCTGAGCTGTTTGGTGGCCACAGGTACAGTGATTCCTAAAAGAGTATTCGAGGTTTTGGCTTTTCGCAGGGGTTTCAGAAACGTAATTCCCTCGAAAAACACGGGATTACTGTATTGTTTAGATTTATTTTTTCCTTCATATGTAGAGCATGTGTTCTTGATTTTATTATTCAATCTGCTTATATGTGTACAATACTGTATTAACTTCAGTCATAAAAAACAATTCAGTCAGAGACTTGGAGTGTTGAACTTAAGAAAAAAAAATGATAATTGAGTTACTTTCATTGTATGTTGGGTGAAACAATGGAAACGAGATTGACAAACAGTGCATAATTGCTTCACGACTATTTGCTACTTACTCATTTTGTTTTCTGTGTATCCATTCATCTCCATTCACACGAAACACATCATTAAATTAGTGTTTATTACCTGTAATTTATTTTATTTCAGATTGTGTTCAGTCCCAGTTCTTGAACACTAAATTGAAGAGTCAGCAATGTCTTCTTCTGATGGATCAGTAGTTACTGCAAAAGAAACTTTCCAGATACTGATGGAAATGTCAAAACTTTTAAACACAGGTTAGTGTATGTGAATGCAAACAACAGTGCAGAAGGATGCTTTGAAATTTTAAAATACAGTGGTCCCTCGATTAAGGAACACAATTGGTTCCACAGAGTCGGTTGTTAACCGAAAATTTTGTTAACTGAATCTGTTATTTCAATGGGATATTGGGTAATTGGTTTCAACTCACAGAAAAGGTTTACATACAAAGTACTGTATACCGGTAATACAATTAACAAAACATTAAATATAAACTAAATACAGTACTGTACTATACTGTATACTGTACAATAATAAATAAAAAACAATAGAATACTGTATTTTAACTTACTTTGAGGTGTGTATGTCGTATTACTGGCAGCTTTGTTTACATATCAAACAGCTGATTGTAGAGGCAGTCGATGATGACATGCCATATTTTTTACCGAGTGCATTGGTTCTAATGCCTTTTTCGTGTTTCATAATAATTTCTGCACTGTATATTATCAATATGTTAACTAAATTTCAGAATGACCAATAATTTTAATGTAAAAATGCAAAAAAGTATTCGAGAGACCAACAAACTCGATGTTCACTCCACTTTAAACAAAGTTAAACTGAGAAGCGTTGGTGGGTGATTCAATCAGCTGAAGGGCACACAAAAACTGTTCCCTGTACTGTATATATTATCAATATGTTAATTAAATTTCAGAATGACCAATAATTAATTTTAATATAAAAAATGCAAAAATATTCGAGAGCACAACTTTCTTGATATTTACCCCACTGGAAAAGAATGTAAATTTAGAACCAATTGCATTGGCGGACTAGCCGATCAGCTGATGCGCACAACAAAGCATGTTTCTCGTAAGGCTGTCGTTAATCGAAGTTTTGTTCGTTAATGGAACTGAAAATCCTTATGGGAGCTAATTCGTTAACCGAAATTTCATTAATTGAACCGTTTGTTAATCGAGGGACCACTGTAATATACTCTACTGTACAGTGGTCCCTCGGTTAACGAGCACAATCCGTTCTAGAAGGTTGCTCATTAACCGAAAAACTCGTGAACCGAAACCATTGTTTCAATGGGTTTTTGGGTAATTGGTTCCAGCTCACCGAAAATTGCCTAAATTCAACAAAAATGGTAGAAAAGTTCACTTACTTTGAGGTGTGTATGTAGAAGGCTCCTGGATGATGATGATGATGGGAATTAGAATGGGGGTGGAGGAGAAGGGAGAAGAGAAGGCATTGGGGTGGAAGAGAAGTCACCCCATGGCACCCTTTCACCCATAAAATTTTAGTTCTCGTGGTGTAATTCAAGATTATTTTCTTTAAATCAACACTGCACTGCATTATATATTGTCAATGTAAAATAAATTTCAAAATGACCAATAACTTGCTTGGAAACACAGAAAAAAAGCATTTAGTTGAAGAGAGTCTCAAGCAAGATGTTACCTCCACTGAAAACAGAGAGAGACTAACGCCTGTCTGGTGTGTTAACAGGCTGGATGGCACGCCAGAAACTAGTTTCTTTACCTTCAATTATGTTCAATAATTATAATTGTTAAAATGACTAAAAAAGTTAATATTAAACTTTTAAAATTATTGAATAGTATGAACTTCTTGATATTTACTAAAATAGTAAGGAATTTAAGCCCTAAAACCGATTACTGTATTGGCGGACTAATACTACAGCTGGTGGACTGTCAAATGCAAGCGAAAACATGATGAAGTCGGCTCGTAAAAAACTCGTTAATCGAGGGATTGCTCGTTAACCGAAGTTAAGAATCTTATGGAAGGTAAATTGTTAACCGAAATCTCGTTAAACCGAGGCGCTCGTTAACCGAGGGATCACTGTATAGGGAGATCATTTGCTGTGTTTTCATACTTGCTAGTAAACAGTAGTAGTTTATTATTTAATGCTCTCCACTAGGTGGCTCATGTAATGTGTATACCAAGAATTTAGGTTAGACCAAAATTGTCCAATTATCTTGGCTGGTGGGCCACATTACCATCTTAGGTAGACTAAACTTCGCAGGCCACACATTTTTGTTGATATAAAAATTTTAATGTAAACCCGGTAATATACCAAAATATTCATGTCTTACATTTGTACATTTAGGAGATAAAGAATACATAATTTATACATTATTAGTGCATTATGCAGTATGCAATTACATATTACAATAATAATAATATGAGAATCACTAATGTACACTTGTTACATGAAATACAGTAAACCCCAATAACTCTGCATTTGATAACTCGAAATTTCATATGACTCGGCATGGATATGATCTCGGAATGTATTATAGTATAACTCGGGAAATGCCGAGATATAGAAATTTATCTGGGAAAATTTTGGCATATCTGGTGACCTGCTTCACCTACTATGCCTCTGTCACCTACCATGCCTCTGTGTCACCTACCATGCCTCTGTCACCTACCATGCCTCTGTGTCACCTACCATGTCTCTATGTCACCTACCATGCCTCTGTCACCTACCATCCCTTTGTGTCACCTACCATGCCTCTGTGTCACCTACCATGTCTGTGTCACCTACCATGCCTTTGTGTCACCTACCATGCCTCTGTGTCACCTACCATACCTCTGTGCCACCTACCATGCCTCTGTGCCACCTACCATGCCTCTGTGACACCTGCCATGACTGTGTCACCTACCATGTCTCTGTGTAACCTACCATGCCACTGTGTCACCTACCATACCTCTGTGTCACCTACCATGCCACTGTGTCACCTACCATGCCTCTCTGTCACCTATCATACTTTACAGACACCTAACGAATACTAAAGTTAACGCTGGTGGGCAACTGAAGAGGTATAAGGATAGTCTTGAGACAAACCTGAAAATGTGCCAAATTGACCCCCCTCACCTGGGAGACAATTACTCCACACCGTAACGCACAAGAAGGTGACAATACTTTCGAGTTAGCCCGACTGCATAACGAGGTAGACAAGCGCCAACGCCGGAAAGACGCTGCCACCGCCCCTCCCGCACTAGTTGTAGCCCTCCACATATGCAACTTCTGTGAACAACCCTGCCAGTCCCGTATCGGCCTCTTTAGTCACTTCAGAACTCACCAACCTAGGTGACACCCTTAATAACTCATATCATTATATCATAGCTGGATGATCGTCATACTCGATTTCATGTGACAGCAAAGTAGTAGTAGCATGCTTATTAGTATGGCATCTTAACTTGGTAGAGCTTCTACTTTCTGTGGTGAGAATTGTTTGTAATTTCTTCCTTTTAAGGGTGAATGTTGCTATGGTAAGGAATGAACCAATGCTGAAGATCTTTCCCAACCAACAATACCAGAGTCTCCCAGGTCAATAACTTAAAGGTTTGTTGCATACTTTACATGAACCACCTAGTTGTGCATTGTGTTATCAAATGGGATTTCAAAATCGGTAAACCATGTTTTCTTTTTTTACAACTCTAGGGCTTGATGAAACAACTCTAGCTCTGTGTGTTCGACTGTGTGACAATGGAGCCAACCCTGAGGCTCTTGCTAAGGTCATCACCGAATTACAAAGAGTCAAGAAAGAAGTTAATGGTCAAGGTGGCGGAGCAGCAGCGACATAAGAGCTTATATATTTGATAAAAAGAAATTACAGTACATGTTCCAGTAATGTTCTTGACAGAGAATACCAGATGTTTTACTAAAGAAATGGGCGAGTGTGTTTCTGTATGAAGATATTCAGTGTTCAAAATAAGTCAATATGATGATGTTTGATGAGTAATCTAAACTGCAAGAAATGTTGAGATGAAGACAAAAAAAAAATTTAATTTACAGTATTTTTAAATTAATAACCCCTTACCTCATTTGCTGTAAAGTGTCTTAACCACAAAACAACTCCAAAACGGAAGGGAAATTCAACATGACCTCCAAGAAGAATGTACGTATAAAAATTAACAACGAAGAATGGAACAGTCTAATATAAAACATAGATACGATAAAGGACACAAAAACATTCTAGCAAAACATTTACAATTTACTTGGCACCAAAAAACAAACAGTAAACTACATAAAAGACCAAAATGGAGAAAAACTTTATACAGACCAGGAAAAAGAAGAGGCCTTTTGTAGAGTATGGAAAAATATACAGTACTTTATTCAGAAAATCTGAAGAAAAGTAGAATTTTGATAAATAACAGGAAGAAGACATTATAGACTGACACTATCATACAGGAAATCTAGATAGACTAAAACCCAATAGATTCTTAGGACTCGGCGAAGTACTACACAGCTTATGCAAACTAAAAGAAAAATCCCTTGGATTAAGTGGCATAACTCGAAATATGCTATTAAACCTTCTTGACAGACCAATAGAAGCACTCCTAAATATATACATCTCAGCCCTATCAGCCAGTTACTTCCCCGATGCCCTCAAATGCACTAAAATTATCTACATCCCCAAAGAAGGCAATGATCCAAAACAAATAACCAACTACTGTACAGACTGACATCTTTAATCTCTTGGTGAGGAACACGTAACTGTTATTTGTTTGTTTAGATGAACTAAAGATTAGCCCCTCAAGCTTATTTCACACAAGTGCCAGAAGTAGGGCCTTGGGTTTTGTCAGAAAGTTACATATAGTGACAGTACGAGTGTGTGTGTGTGGGGGTAATTTCCATACAGTTCATCTGTTTATAACAAAGTGTGGCAGGTCCCTAATAATGTCAAGTGTCAGGCCTGTTTTCATCTATTTTTATGTAACTTGCTGACAAAACCCATGACCCTTCAGGCTTTTACGCCCTTAATGCAGGAGTCATAAAGGCAAGCATGAACTCCGCATGCTTCCCTGGTGGGCATTGTAAACGCTTCTGTGCTTCATCTTGCACAGGATGTAAGGGGGTGCCCAATAAACTAGCCCCCTCGTGGGCAATCTAAAAATCTAATCTATCTGTGTATGTTGCAGATCCACATTACTACACAATCAAATACTCATCCTATTCCCACGATGTTAAACCAGTGCTTGCACCAGTTCGGTGATGCACTGACAAAATTAATATTTTCTTATGCAGTACTATAAGTCCTTTGTTGACCTCATAACTAATTTTGAGACATGTGGAGCACTCATTGTGGTCGAGTTCCCTTTTTATTGTTACTGGATATAACCTTATGCGATCAAGGCCTCCATAGCATTGTAATGCCATTTACCATATCTACACACGTTTATATGAAAATATGTTTGTTGACTTTTAAAAGACCATTGCTCGCTTATCTGGATGAAGGACATTTAAACAGTTTTTTTTATCTGATCTTATGAAGAAATTGAAAGATTTTACATAGAAACAATCCTTGGGAGGAGGTGGCTAATTTTGTAATAAGAGTAAAAGTAAATGTCTATCGGAGATACAGACAAGTAGGCGGACTTCCACAACAACCCTCAACTCAACTACATAAGAAGATAAGAATGCAGGAGACTGCAACGAGCCTATTGACCCATACTGGGCAGTCCCATTTACACCCAACCCTTATCGCTCATATATTCATGCAACAATGCTTGAAGCTATCCAGCGTATTCTAGTTAATGATGATGTTTGGTAACTTGTTCCATGTTCCACTCATCCACTACTCTATTTCCCAACCAATCAGTGTTCCCACAAGTACAGATGAAGAATTCCCTAGATTGGATCAAATTTCCCAAAATCTATTTTCCACACACACACACACACACATTCTTTTCAGCTGAATTTGCTGGAGCTCGTGATTTAATGAGGCTTACTAATGAGCTTGCCAAGGTGAAAGGGACATTATGTTCAGCTATGAAAGCAGCTACTTGTACCTCTGTGCTTTCTTTGTAAATTTTTAGGTTGGATTGTTTCTCAAAAGCATCCTTTACTGAAGGAGTGTTTTGTTTAGTTTTCATGTTTATGTGCTTTTGACTTTGACTGTGTTTAAGCAAAGCAGACCGGTGGGAGGAAACAGTCTTTTTGCATACTGAACACCTAGGATCCTTAGAGTTCTTTGTTGGTGCGATCAACCAGTCTTTGAATGCCTTCTGGCCAGCCCACTCGGTGCGAAATTTCTGATCATATGATTTAGCTTTCTTTGGGGCCGGTGAAAGTTTCTCATCATTGGATGAAGTTTGTTGTGAAGTTGCCATGCTTTCAAACTGATACCTTTAACCAGGGCTGTCCATCAACCTGTTGACAGAAATCATAGCAATGCAACCTCCGTATTCTGTGCTCACGTTAATCAAGCACAACCTAATTGTGTTTTGTTTCGGTATAGGCTAGTTGACCCTCAGTTATGTTGAGGGCGAATAAGAGAAAATGGGGCGAGTCCATTCTCTTTATTAAATGAATGGGTTCTTAAATACGCTAACGAAAAACTTCGATATAATTATACATCTTCACTAGACAACTGACAAGCTGTTAAGAAATATGTAACGTTTTGTTTTCTCATTTGCTTCATCCACAAAATTAACACACTCAAATTCCCTAAATATTCCCCAAAATATTCGAAATTCTCCAAAAAGCCCATTTCCCTAGATTTGTCCCCAGATGTGTCCAGATTTCCCAATCTGGGGACAAATTCCCCAGAAGTGGGAACGCTGCAACCAATGTTTCCCTATCTCGCGCCTAATCTCAGTCTTTATCGGCCATGGTTCCCGGAATTGTTGTAACACGACTGATTGATTACTTAGGTTCTCAGAAATTAACTATATTAAAAATAATCGTCATTGAAAAGCCCGTTACATAACACTGGCAATCAACGTTAAATTGACCGTCATGCAAAGAGACGGAAAGTCCCGTCCTTGCAAGTTTATATAGTAATCGCGTCAACATCAGTCATAGAGTTCTTATACCAATGCGGCGACCTCGCATTGCTGATATAAAGTGGACTATTGCCCTTCCTGTACAATGGAATGCTGTGACATTATCTGCCCCACGTGATGTGACAACTTGTAATCTTACAGTAAAACGGAGGTTCTGGGGGGTTTGGAATGAGTGTGATACGCATGCGCAGAGCGGCACCTTTCGGTCTGTGATCATCCGTCCTCAGTCCTCACTTGCACTGTGCAACCGACAGCGACACCAAGCAACAGTTTTTTGTCACTCGTGCTTGTGTAAGTGGTGCGAGCTCTGGCGTAGTGCATCTAGCAAGTAATCTTAAAATGTTTATATTACAGTAGAAAAGTTTCCATATATGTTATAAACTTTAGTGATGCTTGTGGGAGCAATGTTGCTTGTGATTTTAGCTTGCAATCTGTGTAACACAAATGCGCAGTTTATAAATGCATTTTCGAAGTTTCACGGGATTGTATTTTCACTCTCAGACGATAATGCATCAACGTTGGTTACGTTTGCGCTACTCTCACGTATTAAGAAGTGAAGTATATGAGAAGTAAAATATATGGAAGACTGAGAAAATATTATCGACGGGCAATGTTATGAAGACGGAGCGCCAGCAGGTGGAGGCATCGACTAACTTAATATGTTGGTAGAATCGGGGCTCGCTGTCACGTAGGAAGCTACATTGCACGTGCTTTTTCATCATTGTACCACTTCTTAAAACAACATATATTCTATTAGACGAAATAATTTATTGTGAGGAACTATTGAAGTGAGAGAGGATGTCGGCGGTGATTCTATGGCCCTTACGCCATTGTTGCCCGCACAAGTCAGTGCGGTGACGCAACTGCACCAGCGTCCACCCTGTACGTGTTCTGGTCGTGACGAGATTGTACTTAAACTGTAATGCTGTTCAGTTGTACAGGATATGGGGCTAATTTTCAGATGAGCTAAACTCCAGATGAGCACTTTGGGGTGTTAAATTCCAGATGAGCACTTTGGGGTGTTAAATTTCAGGTGAACACTTTGGGGCTCAACTTCAGATGAGCTTTTGGGGCTAAACACCAGGTCACGCAGAGTTGCCAACTTAGCGACTTTGTAGCTAGATCTAGCGCTTTTTGTTTTTTCTAGCGACATTTTAGAGCGATTTGCGACTTGTCGCAAATCTAGAGATATCCACAGAAATCTAGCGACTTTCTGGTTACTTTTGGACTGTCCATGAAAACTCAGTTTTCCTAATTTCGAGCCATAATATATAGCAACGGGGTTACAGGGACAATAAATAATAAGAAAAGTTTAATACATTTGAACGGGTCGTGGTACAGAAGGAAGGACACGTCTATTTCCTGATCACTTGATGTCAGCCCGTCCATGGCTAATGTTGCCGTGTCGTCATTTATTTGTCTATTACCTTCGCCTTTGTAGCACCTGGGTAACTTACCTCTTTGTCAGATATGCAATATGAATTTCATTAATACGCTAAATTTTAAAGAATATTAGCAAAACATCTTATAGAATTAATTCTATCAAGCCTGCGTGGTTCCAAACTTCTCATCCGCGTCCACCATGGGTGATCCATAGACTCCATACAGTTGCCCCGACACTATTCACCCGCTTTGCCAAAAACCATCAAGGAAAGTTTCCGCTTGTTTGCATGCTGTTTATTAATTTGAACCCTTCATAGTCCCAATAGAAAATGGGTAACCCACAGTATTCGCAGCGATTTAGGAAGGAATGGCTCAGAGATGACAGATACAAAAATTGGCTTCTGGAGGTGCCAGGAGATAATAAAAAAGGATTTTGTAAATTTTGCAAGTGTACTTTGTCTGCTAAGTTGTGCGACATTGAAAAACACAAAAACACTAAAAAACACAAGAAAGCAGAATAGCCGTTTAGTGCAGAAAGACAGACAATTTTACCATTCAAGAAACTTGGTGAAGCAAAAAAAGTGGAGGGAACTCTGGCCATGTTTGTAGCTGAACATTGTT